CGGCGAGTTGACGGTGCTTTTGTTTGGTGAGATTTGGTTTTTATTTTACGTGCGTGTATAGTTTTTTCAAGCCCAGGAAATGGCCTGTTCGAAAGGAGGCAGACGAAAGTCTCACCAAATAACTCGTATTCATCCACCGATGGACTCGCTCAGAGGTGATGTCGAACATGTTGTTAATCTCGTCAAGGTGTTTAGCGACGATTACAACGGCTACGTCGTCTGCATTTGCTACGAGTTTTATACTTCTTGGCAATTTCAATTTCAATAGGCCATCGTACATGATATTCCACAGCAGTGGACCAAGTACAGAGCCCTTGGGTACACCTCCGGTAATATCATACTCTTTTAGACCATTCTTTGTGTCGTATTTAAGAACTCTATCGGTGAGATAGCTGGCTACTATTCTACACAGGTATTCTGGGACGTTTTTCTCTCGAAGAGCTTGCATGATGCAGTTCCGGTTGGCGGAATTGAAGGCGTTTTTAATGTCTAATGCTGCCACCAGGCAATACTTCTTTGCGCCACCCTTCCATCTCGTTCCTGCGATTGCTTCTTTAGCCGTGCTAACAACCAGATTGATCGCATGCAGGGTTGATCGTCCTTTCCGGAATCCATACTGATTGTCTGCTAGGAGTGGGTCGACTACTGCATTTATTCGTTGATGAATTACGCGCTCAAATATCTTACGGTCGGTAAGATGACGGTTCTTCTGGTGGTTTCTTCCCTTTAGGTAACAGTACTAATCGTTGCTGTTTCCACTTACGAGGAAAATTCCCCTCCTTGAGACATGCATTATAGGCGTCTAGGAATAATGTTGGAGCTGCCTTTATGATGGTTTTCAAGGCTAAATTAGGGATTCCGTCCACTCCCGGCGCTTTATTATTCCCTACACGTTTACAAGCCTCCAGCAGTTCTTCTTTAGTGACAGGTGGGATGTCGTCCAATTCATCTGGCGTCAACTGGTAATCTAAGTTGCGTTGCTGTGGAAATAGTGCAGTGACGATTTTCTGAAGAAGTTGAGGGCGCGTAGGTGATGGCATTTGTTGTTTTTTTAGGTGGGTCATAACCACCTTATAAGGCCTACCCTACACGTCTTTATCCACTTCGTATATACGCTCTTTCCAGCATCTTCTTTTGCTCTCTTTTATGGCTTTATTCAGTTCACGACGCGCCTTTTTGTACTCTGCGGTCAGCTCCACTGAGTTGGGCCGTTGATAGCTGCGCTGAGAGATTCTTCTTTTCTTATGACACTCTTTAGGGAGGGCGCTGATGTGGTCGTTCCACCAATGGACCGAAGGTCTCGACTTTATGCCACGTTTACGAGGCATACTGGCATCACAAGCATGTGTTACTCTCCTCATCAGGTCCTTAGTCTGTTCTTCTGCACATCCAATGTTGATCGGATCACCATCGAGGGCTATTAGTAATGCTTCTGGGTCAAAAGATTTTACCTTCCAGCCAACGATGTTAGACTGCTTGACTGGTGCTCTTGGGTGTGTGTGTGTGTGTGTGTGTGTGTGTGTGTGTGTGTGTGTGTGTGTGTGTGTGTGTGTGTGTGTGTGTGTGTGTGTGTGTGTGTGTGTGTGTGTGTGTGTGTGTGTATGTAAACCTCTTCTAACTTTTGAACGGCTTGACCGATTTGATCGCGGTTGGCGCCATTCGAAAGGGCTTGCCCAAACTTAGATTTCCTAAAAATTTGAACCGATTTGGACCGGTAGATTTCGAGAAAATGCAAAAAAAGTGAAAAAAAAAGTTGTTTTTTTTTAATTTTTTTTAAATATCTCCGAATTGGCTTAACCGATCGGTCTCAAAATCTAATCAGCTCTTAACCTTGAAAACCCCTATCGATCGCCACCAAAAACGTTAGAATCGGTTGATGCGTTCGTGAGATATCGTTGTTGAAAAAAATCGAAAAAAGTGATTTTTTGTAATAACTTCGAAATTCATGGCTCGATCGATTTAAACTTAAAAATTTTTCATGGAGCTTCAGAAACTGCGTCGATTGCCGCCAACCGCGTGAAAATCGGTTCATTCATTCAAAAGTTATAGCAGTTTAAAAATTTTTAAAATCGTGTTTTATCAAATTTTGATAAGACTTTTGAGCTCGAAGAGCTCAGAAGCTTAAAACAGCTACTTTTTTTATAGAGTTCAAAAAACTGCGTCGATTGCCGCCAACCACCTGAAAATCGGTTCATTCATTCAAAAGTTATTGCCGTTTGAAAATTCAAAAAATTGTGTGTTTAAACTGCTATTAGAGTTTTGAGCTCGAAGAGCTCAAATTGACACAAAAACAATATTTTTGAGCTCGAAGAGCTCAAAGACGTAATGTGTAGTTTGAAGCGTTTAAGTACAAAATGAGCGGGAAGTTGCAGGGATGGCCTTTAGGGTGAACCGTTTTTCTAATTTTTTTTTTTTTAATCAATCACACAATTGATTTTTTTCTAAAAAAATGAATGAGCGTTATGAGGTGTGCACTTTTGGATTTTCCAAACTTTTTAAAATTGCAAGTAAAACTCCTCACTCTAACCATTATCGGATGATGCTTTGAGGACAGTCTTCAGAGTGTCATTATTCAAGTGAATGATACTTTGAGGACAGTCCGCAAAGTATAATTATTTGAATAAACGATACTTCCAAAACAGTCTTCAAAGTATGATTGTTGATTTCATGAAATTTTTTAAAATCGTATTCAAGACTTCATGAAATTCAATAAAGTTTTATCTATTTCATTAAATTTCATAAAAAAATTTTCACAAGTAACTTCCATTCTCGACAAGATAATTCGCCTTTAGTGACACTCGTCAACGATCAAAAATATTGTTTGCATTCTTAAAACACTAAATGAAATTACTGATGGCATGGCATTAACGTAATTATTCCAAGTTACGTTCGCAATAAGTATTAAAAATTTATCAATAATAATATTATTGGCTGTAATTTAACTTTAATTTTTTGTAATTTAATATTACATTTATTACAGTTGACTTAGAAAAAAAATTGTCAATGTTTGTGATCGAATTTTCTCTCTAAGCAAACAAATATCAAATACATAACAAACATAATATTTTGAAGAAAAACAGATCAGTGAGTAAAAAGAAAAAAATATTCCAATTGTTAGCAGAAAAAATTTGGCATTACTGTTAACTCGGTCACGCCTCTAATAGCAGACCTGCAACTTAAAACGCCTTAATGCTATCAAACGCCGAGAACTGTGACCAATACACACACACACACATAAACAAACTTCTGAATATATCACTACAGTTGTGGCAACCAAAGAGTTTAATTACCGTATATTAAATGATAATAAATTATCTACATGTACCTGATTGATAAATCAATAATTATAATAACTGTATCACTTTGTTATAGTTATTTTTATATAGAGTATTCTCCTTTGAATCTACAAAAATTTACCTTTAGTGACATCTGTAAAATACGAAGTAAAATTTGAGCACTAACCGACATTACCGACTATTAACCTATTGCTCTTAACTATTAACTATTGCTCTTAATTATTATAAAATATAAAATATCGTGTCACTAAAATTAATAAATGCAGTGGAATATTCATCTTTTCACTTTAATAATTATTAAAATTTAATTGATAATTCGTATCAGTTCCTTTATTGTCTCCGTTATCTCAGTGTCGATACAATATTATTGGATTCTTTTTCTATGATTCAGCATTATTGCGCAATTTTTTCTTGGTGACACAGCGTTTCCCGCCATTATTCCTATTCATGCGACATGATTAGTATAACAAGCTTTCTTCAGTTTAAATAATTATCAAAGCTTAACTTTATCTGTAAAAAATGAAAACAATGAATAAGTTTGCACTAATAAAGGATAGTGAAGGATCCTATCACGTCTGCAAATCTAAAATACTAAAGAAAGATGAAAAAAATAACGAAAAGTTTATTTTAGATAACATCTCGGTGTCAGTAATTTATTTCAATGGTAAGTTGTTTTGCATACATATTTGTGTCTGAGTAATTTTATTATTAAAAAAAAATATATATAGTTCAGGAAGTTAACAAAACATTGTCAATTGTTTCATATAAACTACTTTTTTATTTTTTTTTTAGATGACCAACGAACATTGGATGAATTATGCAAAAACTTAAACTTGAAGTCACCAAGTCTCAAGCTTATTGATACTGTTAGGGCCAAAAAGCCGATAATAATTGAAGATAAAACTTTGCCGAAACCTCGTGTTTTAAAGTTCTCTAGGAAAGAGTACACAAATGGTTTGTGTAATTTTGGAGTTATATAATCATTAAAGACATGTCATCAATTACATATTTAAAAATCATTTGTTACTCGTCATATTGAGTAATTTATTAAATAAATGTCAGATATTAATGATATTTAAGATTATTAATGCAGACATAGAGTAAAAAAGAATATTTAATAAATGTTTAATCAATCATGAATTTCAGAAACCATATTTAATCGTTTATTTTTTAGTTTTTTCAAATATATGTTTACATCTATCAATAAAATTTAACTGATCCAATTAAAAATTAATTTCAACAGCCACAGTAAAAGAAAGAGTAAGTTTTTGATAATAGTATAAACTTTGATTGTTAAAAGAGGTTAGCATGTTTTCTATCACTGTCTACTCTCATGTTTTGTTTTTATAAATAACTAATGGTGTTCAGTGTTACTCTATCAATGTAAGATTACTTTATTACGGTTGCCTGTTCAGTTTATTTGATATTTCTACACTAACGATTGTTTATTACTTAATGCATGAGCTCATATAGATCATTATTTGGATTAAAAGCATCTTAAAATAATTCAGAATTTCTTTCAAGCCTACTTCTTTAATCTTAACTTAAATTAAGTAATTTTTATTTTTTCTAAGTCATTTTCATAACTTGTCAATGAATTATCCTAATTGTAATTTTCTATTGTGTGAATAATTAAAATTGATGTAATAGAATTTAATATATTTCCTATCTGTTTAAAACCTTAATGATTAAATTATAATTTCTTACAGGTAATCGTAAACAATATTCATCTTCTGGTGAATCTGAATACCAACCAACAGATCAAGAATACACTTCGGACGATCAATTATCAGATGATGATAATTGCAACAATCAAACTCAAATCACCACTGTTTCCTCAGGGGTCTTTGACATTACCCCAAGCACACCACAGGATCCAAAACCTTCATTTAATATACCTGGAAACTCAGCTTGCGATGATAAAAATCTTGAAACAGAATTGTCGAGATCTAAGAGTAAAAAAAATTTATGTTTTTACTGTAAAAAATTTCAATCTCAATTAGCACGGCATCTAGAAATGGTTCATTCACAAGAAGAACTTGTTAAAAAGTTTATGAGTTTCGATAAAAAATCATCAGACCGGAAAAATGCTATCGCAGTTATAAGGAAAAAAGGAAATTTTGATTTATTTGTTAATAAAGATTTGAACAAAGATAAATATTTTGTTCCATCAAGACGGCCTACAGACAAAAGTAAATGCTCAGCTGAAAATTATGCTGTTTGTCCAGACTGTAATGGCTTATACACTAAAACTAATTTACGGCATCACAGTAGAAGCTGTGTTATGCAAAAAAATGGAAGTAAAGGTGTGATGGCAAAATCTCGTGTTGCTGTTGGTCGTGTCCACCCTCGAGCGTCAGAAGTTTTACGTCAGCAAGTTATTCCACGAATGAACGAAGATAATGTAGTACGTAGCATAAGATATGATCTAGCTTTGATATTATATGGTAATCAGTTATGTTTAAGACATCGTAAGCAGTACAGACATAAATTAATTAGATCGAATTTGCGGTTATGCGGTCGTTTCTTAATATTTTTACAAGAAAAAGATCCGAAAATAACCGAATTTGCTTCTATTTACGATCCTGAGCGTTATCATTTTATCATTGACTGTATTGATGAGTTTTCTGGGATAAATGAACGCTCTGGTCACTATGAGAAAGCTGGAAACGCAACAGAAATAACTAAGCACATCAAAGTTATCGGTGAGGTACTTCAGGGTGAATATATCATCATAAAAAATGATGAAAAAAAATCTAATGTTGATAATTTTCTTACGTTATGTAAAACCGAATTTAGTAATGTAATCAATAAAACAGCCATGGAAACGCTCGTCGCTCGTCAGCGAGGAAAAGAGGTCGAATTACCATCTTCAACCGATATTCTTCTATTATCTGAATACTTGGATAAATTGATTGACAGATATTACGAAGAATTGAAAGAACAATTTTCTTACAATTCATGGCGACGTTTGGCTGAAGCAACATTATCTAGAATGCAAGTTTTTAATCGTCGACGAGCTGGAGAATCGGAACGGTTAGAAATAACGGATATGAAAAGTGCTAGATCGTTGAAAAAAGATGATGAAGATTACGCAGATCTTACGGAGGAGGAACGAAAGTCCGCTGATAAATATGTTCGAGTAGTCATTCGTGGAAAGCTTAATCAAAATGTTCCTGTGTTATTGACAAAAAAATGGTTTAAATGTATAAAATTGATTGTTAAGTACCGTACCAAAGCTGAAGTCTGCCCTGAAAATCCTTACGTTTTTGGCATTCGTGGGCGGTCTGATGAGTCTTGTTTATCAGCTACAAAATTGTTATGTTTTTTTTAAAAAAAATGTGATGCTGATAAGCCTGAGTTATTGCGAGGTACTCCTTTGAGAAAACATGCTGCCACGAAGTGTGCTCAATTCGGGTTAGATGACGCAAATACTGCAAACTTTGCGAAATTTATGGGACATGATATTAATATTCACAAGAATATTTATCAACAACCGGTCGCCAAAAAAGACATTTTAAGTATATCAAAAGTCTTAGAAAAAGCTCAAAAACCGAGTGCTACTATTACCAGTGGTTCTCTACTAAAAATTGATAATGAATTAGCTCCACGAGATTCACCATCGGATAGAAGTAACGATATTAGTCAAGAAACTTTCGAATCTACGATTACTTCTAATTCAGCAAATGATGTGACATTAAACACGCTATCCGACGCTACTGAAGTTGATTTGTCAAGTCAAAGTTTATCATTTAACCAGGATAATCAGGACACTCGTTGTAAAAGCAAAAGGCGAGTCACTCAACCAATTACTAGAAAGACATGGACTAAAGAGGAAGAAAAAGATTTTAATTATCATTTTGAACATTATTTAAAAACTAAAACGTTGCCGGGTCTTCTAGTGGTTCGCAGCATTCAGAGTGAGTTTGGAGTGCTTAAAAATCGCACGCCAGAAGTAATAAATGCTCACGTATTCAATAAAAACCAAAAGGCAAAATCGGCAACTAACTTCGATGATAAAAAATCAGATAAAACACATTCTCATGAAAATCGAATACAAAAACATCTGAAATATATTTTTCAAGATTGTATTGAAAAAAAGAAAGTACCAGCACTAGATGCTTGTGCAATAGCTAAAAGAACTGATAAATTACTATGTAAACTATCAGACACGAATATTCAACGACGTGTAAAAAATTTATTCAAGAAATAGTGATAAGTATAATCCATTCTTTAACTTACAAAATTAATTTACTCATCGAGTTGAATAAACAAATTATCCAATTATAATACTTTAAGATATCATTATCTTATAATAGCAACTATTATTCATAATCTTTTTTATCGCTAAAAATGTTATTCGGTTACATAATTACAAAATTTTATTTTAGATTTCTTAGTTGTAAAATTTTTTTAATTAGAATCAGTAAATTGATGTACTTAATTGCTTTAGTACGTTTTATTAATAGAAAATAAGAAAGTTAATACATTTTAAATTAAAAGAAAATAAAGAGTTTGATATAAATTGAAACGAACCTAGACAGTACCATAAAATTTTCGTTTTTTGTTATAGAATAGCAGTAGTTTAGTAACGTTATCCATGAAGTTTAATTTTTATTAACCATTCCAAAAAATGAAAGAATTTGATTTCAAAAAATCAAAAACGTTTTGATTTTATATTTCGATGTTATTTAATTAAATAAAATAATTTACATTTAAAAAAAATTATAATGCGAACAGTAATGGCAATAACGATAGTGATGCAAGTTTTTTAGAACTAAGAGCTTTTCAGTAATAAGTTTTCTAATTCTGTAATAGACACAATAATTATTCATTCTCTATTATAAACTGTTTTTTTTTTAATTTAATTTAATTTGATTTTATTTCAACTACGATTTCTGTTCGTCTTTGTGTCCATGAAAATGTTAAGTATCATTAGTATTCTTCACCTACATGGATTAATACTGGAGCTATTCACAAGATTTTTTTATTATTTTTTTTTTTAATTTATCAAGATCCGAACTATATTATTTATTCAATGTATCCAAAAATAATTGAAAAATATTGATTCAGATGTAATTAGATAGAAAAATCTTTCATGATCAGAATTGCACTGATCACTTGATTTTTAAATTAAATTTTTTGTTCCAAGACTTTTCATAATTTCTACGGTTTAATTATTAATTATATATTAGGAAATATCTTTTGCGTTAGGCAATAAATATTTTACAAATAAAAATTGAATTTATTATTATCTGTGTTTTTTTAATGATGTAAAAGTATATTTGTTTTGTGTTAATAAAGTTTAATTAAATTTAGAATAAAAAAATAAAAAATCTGAGTTCATAGATATCTTATTTAATTACAGCATTCTTAATTATTCGATATACATAGATTATATGATCCTTGTCGTTAAAAATTTAAGTATCATGAGAGTTTTAATAAAGATATAGATTTTAGGATTCTCTTATGTATGTAACGAACTAAATAATTATTTTTTACCTTTAATATTTTCCCTGTAATATCATAATTTTAACCACTCATTTCAATTTTCATAAATTATTTTGATTCTAATCATTATTATTACTTTAAACGATACTTCGAGGGCAGTCCTTAAAGTATCATTATTTAAGTGAACGATACTTTGAGAACAGTTTTTAATTGTAATTCTGGCAATGAATATTATTTTGAACTAATCTTTTAGGTTTTTTGAACCATTGATGTTAAGAAATGAAAAAATAAAAACCGCGCACGAATGCTTCAATTGATTTGGGAATATTTCGAGTAACAGTCACAAGCAATACTCACTTGTGCCGGAGATCGAGATTTAACTGCTAACGCGTGAATAATGCATTTAGATTAAAAAATCATAGATTTATTAAATTCATGAACTATTGCACAATTAAAAAGGAATTCTAAAAAAAAAACAGTATGAATCGTTGAAATCTTAAAGAAATTTTATTGACTTAACATTTGTATTAAATATGTATTAAATATTAACGTAATGTTGTATTAAATATATTATAATCAGTCATATATCATCTTGTAACATTTCAATTTTCAAAATTTTCATAACCGATATAGTTATATTGACATATAAGATGAATGTAAAACTACAAATTTGTCTGTATAAGTATTTTCAAAGGTTTCAAGTATTACTTTCAATCAATAAGATAACAAAGAATAATAAATTAACTATAAATAGATTTAACAGTTTAATCGTACAACCAAAAAATTTTTTACTCTTTTCAAAAACAATGAACTTGAATATCTATATTCTATTTGTTTCGAAAAAAAATTTACTTTGTTATGAAAAACAGACTTAATCATCTATGATTCAATTTAACAACATAAAGTATTATTTTTAGATCTTTCGGGTATACTCAGTACCATATTTTTTTTAATTTTGTCTCATTTACGATGTGATTGTGTCACACGAATTTTATTCCTGTGTGCGTCCCTCCCTGCGCCTAGTGTTGGCAACAGATCCACACTCGGTGTCCCATAATTTTAATATTTTTATGTGAATTTATATATTGCATATTCTTTATTATTATTATATTTGAAAGGTTGTATATTATGATTATTAGTAATTTAAGAATTAATTTTACATTTGTTTCAGATATTTTTAATGAATTATTTGTGATTCATTATTATCATTATTATTATTGTATGTATCGCCGTAAATCATAGTTATAGTACCTGGTTATTATCGTAGCCTTTACTCGCACGGGTGAAATCCTATAATATCGATCGCGAGCAAAGGGTCTATTAAATTTGGGAAAATGGCTAAAGAGGCCCTCGTGGTCGAACACGAGGCCTCGTACGATTTACGGTAACAAAAATTAACGAGACACGCGGGAGCCCGCTTAGTGTATGGAAGACACGCGGTAGCCTGCAGAGTGTAAGAGTGTGGATCTGGCACCTTTGTTCGAGTTCCCTTTTTTTGGTGAGTACTCACAAGTTGAGCCATTTTATTAACCACGCACCGTGCTGTCTCCCGGCGAACAGATTAGTATTTGAAGCCGGTATTAATTATTCGAGCCAGCCAGTATTATTTATTTATT